TCAACTCGTTGAAAGCTACCGATTAATGAATGGAATATAATCCACGATTACACGTGAATACACAATACAGACACGTAAAGCGAACCTCGCCCGAAAGCATATAGAAATGGCTTTCTTGCCAGGTATGAGAATGCGCTGTAACATTCACCACTGACTTTATATGAGGAAAATTATAGTAAGCTAGAGATTTTTCAAAAACTTAATGTACCACGCCTTCTTGGTAGAAGCAATTTAAGATGAGCAACAGTAATCTATTTCAATATCCCATGCATATTTATTTGGGCAGTTGTTTATTACTGGCATAGAATGAAAAGTAACACTGCGAAAATACGAATTTGAAACGTGAAGTCAGCAAGTTTAGTGCAGATAAATAAATTTCAATGAAGGTTGGATGGTAACGAATAAACTAACAATAGTGGAAAGTCACAAGTCAGATAATGGATAATTGGTTGCATTCTTCTAATTGAATGTTAGTCAAAAACAGAGAATAACCAAAAAAGGCAGCCACTTGAAATTCAGTTTATTTTTTTATAAGTTTTATATTAGAATGAAGGTAGTTCAAGAAATAATACTAAAACTCCAAAGGCCTTTTATAATAAAAATGTGGACATTTAATTCAGAGGAGGAAAAAGTCTATAAGAACCAGAAAGCGAATTGTAACGGTGAGATGAAAATGTTCTGTCCAGAATGATACCAGAATTTAAATGTATGGAGAAAGCATGAATTGGCAAATCTGCAAAACCGGAGGTTTGGAGTCAGCGACAGTCATCAGATGTTGGAATCCGCTTATATGATTGAAGGAAAGCAGCAGGACACATTTTTGAAGATCACTAGATAATCTGAAAGGAAATGAAAGTATACCGGAGGTAAAATGAAATTTGAAGGATTGGACGGGTCCAAATTTCGAATCAAACTTGGAGACTGGAAGGATGTTTTATTTATTGTTGAGCCGCTATATCTATGGATAGATCTAAGAGCATAAAGGATTTTCATAAAACATTAAAACTTCAAAGTGAGACAATTGTTGAAATGATTTAAAGTCAATATTAAAGCAAAACCACTTATTTTTCATCAAGCCTCCGACTAATAAATCAAAGATAAGAACAGCCAATATTTGGCCACATAAAGGACAATTGCCGCGACTGAAGAGTTACATTTCGACTAACTTAAAAGATAATGAATTCAAATGAAGCTACAGTAGATACAACCATAGTCTAGACCATTTACTACTTTTTATCTGAATAAAATAACTAGGTAATCAATTACGAGGAAGCAGTCACTTAGCAAATGCCAGGCTGCACCAGGATCAGCTTACCAAATGCAAATTCTCTCATATACGGTGAATGCGGTGAATTTTCAATATAGATTGAAAAAAAATATTGAGGGATGGTAACTAGTAGTTGATTTTGTGACCTAGCAAGCGATAACTTAACCAACCACGATGAAATAGACTCACTAAAACATTAAGTTTTATTATTTTTTTGCAAATATCATTCCTATCCAGACAAGTGGATAGCAAAATGGATTTACATGGCAAAATAAAACCTTCGTCTACAGGAAACACAATTATAGAGCCTTAGATCTCCAAGACTAACAGATTTACTATCAATTTTGAATACTGCTAAAATAAGAGTACGATTTAGTCAATTGAGTTCACGAATCAGTGCTATTAAATGACGAGCACCTGACTTTGGCAAGCTTCAGCTTGATAGAACCGAGATGTGCTCACACAATCCTCGGATACAGGAGCAAAATACTTATATGGCGTCTGTCACATGGCAGAAATTGCCAGAGCCACATATCAGTCTTACAGCTTTAGGCTAACTCGAAGAAGTGAAGAGGAGCTAAACATTATAAAAGCCAGTCAAAAGGGTGATAGGAAACTTTGCCACAAATTCTACTATGAATGAGAATCTAGCCTTCCAGAAATGTACAAAATATCACGAAGCTATGGCATATGTTCCTGCTGCTAGATGCACTCCTTTAACAGATAGATGAATGTTGCTGAAGTAGTATGCATCACCATGAGCGCACCTTTAATTAAGAAGCTGGGGCGCCTAGGGCTTATGGTTTCCCCAATGATGCATATGGGTTTGTAGCGAGAACAGTCATTTCAACAAACAATATTGATGAATTTAATTGG